ACATCACCCCCAAATAGTTTACCTTATTAACAATCTCAAAACCCGTCAGGTTAGTCAAAATCTGCTTCTCCTGACTAGACATATTTTTAGGTAAAATTTTGGTCTTATTTACATTAATCTTAAAACCCGAGACCAAACCATAATGATGAATCAACTGTAATAAGTTTACTACAGAATAATCAGGTTGCGACAAAGTAACAACCAAGTCATCCGCAAAAGCTCTTAACTTATATTCTGTTTTATTAACATATATTCCTTTAATTTCCTGAGACTCTCGAATTTTGATCAATAATATTTCCAATGTTAAAACAAACAACAATGGCGATAAAGGACACCCCTGTCGAGTACCTTTCTCTATTGTGAAAACCTCCGAAAGACCTCCATTAACAATAAGTTGTGCTGTTTGTTTTTGATATATTACCTTAAGGGCTTGTAATATGTTTTCACCAAAATTCATTTCTTCCATTACTCTTAGCATAAAATGCCAATTCATTTGGTCAAATGCTTTTTCAGCATCTAAAAATATGAGCCCTGCAGGAACTTGGTTGTTCTTATCTAAATATTCTAATAGATTAATAATTTGTCTAACATTGTTTTTCATATACCTTCCTGTTATAAACCCTGATTGATCTTTATGCACAAGATGATGCACCACCCTCATAAGCCTATTTACCCAAATTTTTACAAATATCTTATAATCCACGTTTAAAAGAGATATAGGCCTATAATTTTTTGGTAAAGTAAGATCTTGATCCTCCTTGGGAATCAATGATATAAAGGCACTACGCCATGAAGGAGGAATCTCTAAACCCTGTAAGATACCATTAAAAAGATCATTTAATGGTTGGATCATCTCCTCCATTAAAGCTGTATAATAAACAGCTGTTAACCCATCCGTACCCGGTGCTTTCCCTAGTTTCAATTGTTGAATTGCTGAGGCAATTTCCTCCTTAGTAATTAAGCCATTAATTTCATATTTCTGATCCTCAGTCAGTTTAGGAATACTTGCCTCAGCTAAATATTTATTTATATCTAACAATTGTACATTAGTAGATTTATATAAGTTTTGATAATAATCCAAAAAAGATTTTTTAATTAATTCCTTCTGAGAAAATAGTTTACCCTTGTAATTTATTTTCTCTATTATTCTCTGTCTCTGTTTCTTTCTTAATTGATAAGCCAACCATCTCCCCGGCTTATTAGCATTACAAAATGTATTTGGTTTCATAAATAATAAATTGGTTGCAGCTTGATCTGCTATCAACATATTAAATTGTGACCTTAATAACTTTACAGATTCTTTAGTACTTTCATCAGAAGGATTTTGAATCAAAGCCCTTTCTTTTAGTTTAATTTCATCTTCAAGTTCTCTACGTTTCTGAATCTGATTTCGCTTATAAAAATTATTCATTTTTATCAAAACACCGCGCATAAATGCTTTACCTGCATCCCATACCATTGACATTGAAGTCACCTTGTACATATTCAAAGCAAAATAGTCCTTTAAACACTCCTTTAATTTTTGAACATTCTTCTCTTGTCTAAACAAATTTTCATTAACTCTCCAGGATCTTCTTTCCTCTTTCTCTTGAATCAGCTCCATCCAAACTGGACTATGATCCGTCAGTGATCTAGGAAAAATCTTAACATTCTTTACTTTATTATACAAATCCGTGGTAATCAAGAAAAAGTCAATTCTTGAAAAAGATTGGTGTCTATCAGAAAAAAAAGTAAAGTCTCTCTCCTCTTGGTTACGTTCCCGCCAATAATCCCTTAATTCCCAGTCTTCTTTCATATCAAAAAAGGCTACCTAAAGAATGCATCTCATTTTATAACACATTGTGCAGCTAGGTTTATAACACGAGGCACAAAGGTGTGCTTTCCCACTGTGCTGTTATCAACTTGACAGCGGTACTGCAGAACATCAAAACTGACACCCTGGCTTGGTTTACATATTTTATTTATGTATTTACAGTATTTGTATACTGATTTTATTATTTTTGATAACTAACACAAGGCAGTGAACAACCAATTACACCTTCCTTCTCCTAGTCCCCTCCCCCCCATGAGGTGGGTTGGACTGAGAGAGAATGACTGGCACAAAGTCACCCAGCTGGCTTTCATGCTTAAGGCAGGACTAGAACTCCCCGTCTCCTGGTGCCCAAAGTTACCTAACTGGCATTCATACTTAAGCCGAGACTAGAACTTCCTGTCTCATGGTGATTGGCCCAAAGTCACCTAACTAACATTCATGCTTAAGATGGGACTAGAATTCCCGGTCTCCTATTGATTGGCCCAAAGTTATCTAACTGGCATTCATGCTTAAGCCGGGACTAGAACTTCCTGTCTCATGGTGATTGGCCCAAAGTCACCTAACTGGCATTCATGCTTAAGATGGGACTAGAACTCCCGGTCTCCTATTGATTGGCCCAAAGTCACCTAACTGGCATTCATGCTTAAGATGGGACTAGAACTCCCGTTCTCCTATTGATTGGCCCAAAGTCACCTAACTAACATTCATGCTTAAGATGGGACTAGAACTCCCTATCTCCTATTGATTGGCCCAAAGTCACCTAACTGGCATTCAGGCTTAAGATGGGACTAGAACTCCCTGTCTCCTATTGATTGGCCCAAAGTCACCTAACTAACATTCATGCTTAAGATGGGACTAGAACTCCCTGTCTCCTATTGATTGGCCCAAAGTCACCTAACTGGCATTCAGGCTTAAGATGGGACTAGAACTCATAGTCTTCTGATGATTTGCCCAAAGTCACCCAGCTGGCTTTCAGACTAAGGCGGGACTAGAACTCCCCATCTCCTGGTTTCGAGCCTGGTACCTTAAATCATTAGGCCAAACTGGCTCTCTCTATATATTGGGTCTGGTGCTCTTTTAGGGATGAGAAATAAAAGTTTCAGCTGGTCTCGTTTCCCTAATCAAAACGACTTTGCCATCTCGGCCAGCTTTAAATCAATCTTTTGATGCCGGCTTATTTATTTATTCATTTAACTAGTTCCCATAGCTGCCCCACTCTTCTGGAGAGAGGTTGATCCTCACCCCCTGCTTTGGATGGGGGCTGAGAGACTTTTATTGAAGTAAGGAAGATGCCTGGGGTTGTAACTCACACCCCCTTGAACGGCAAACAGATGGGCTGTCTCTGAGCTCACAGGACTTGCTAATTAGTGTCATGTAATGTCCCATTTTATGGCCCACCCCTATTTGCACGCCAGCTCTGACAGTTTCTAAAATAGAGCAATCTATAGTCAAGTGGCATGAACATCCCCGGGTTGATTTCTCTTTGTGCCTGGATAAGAAGCTCTTCCAAAAAAGCCAGCTTGGTTTTAATCTCATATTCTTAAGATCTGGCTTGAAATGACGCTGGAGTTATTTTTAAAAGGCTTCCTCCCTCAGCTCTGCAGGTTGAGGTAAGACGCTTCCTGGAAAATAATTACTTTTCACAGTGACTACTTAATAGAATATCACCCCCAGAAGAGCATAACAGCTTGGAATGTTGTAAAAAACATGTCATTCTCTCATGCTGGTATAAGGAGCAGAGAACCTAACTAGGGTGGTGAAGTTGATTTTCTTTCCTGATAAAAACAGATCTCAAGTATATAATGAAACTAAGATGAAAGTGCCAGAACCGCTGAAAAAACAGGGATGGTTGTTTGATACTCAGAGCTACTCAGTTTTGTATTTCCAGCAAAATTTGAGGTTCTTTAAGGCAGTCCACAAGTCTTAAACGTTGCCAAGATTGGACACCCCTGCTTTAAGGTTTTTAGGATTACATTCTATAACTCCTATTTTAAAAACAACAAGAAGAAAAACGTGGCTCTTTAGCAGTGGTTCTCAACCTGTGGGTCGGGACCCCATTTGGGGTCGAACGACCATTTCACGGGGGTCGCCAAACAACGCAGTCCGCCATTTTTTCCCCCTTTCCTTAGCTGTGCTACTCCCTTTTATTCTATTGGCTTTTGAAAGCCAATAGAATAGACTATCTTGAATAGAGTCTAATTCTATTGGCTTTCAAAAGCCAATAGGAATTGTCCAGGCTGTCTCTGCCCTGCTGAGCCCGCCAAAAGTCCCATTCTGCAAATGGTGCTGCAGTAGTAGTCCTTGACTTACAACTGGTTGAGTATCCTCAACTTATGACCGGTTGGGGGTCGCGGCATTAAAAAGGTTGAGAACCACTGCTCTTTAGAATCATGTTTTGGATAGAGCAGGGGTTCGGAAAAATACAGGGGCTTGTGAAAAAGGACAGCACTATATGTCACTTATTAGAATTGCACAATATTTTTTTTTTTTTAAAAAAAAATACCCCATCAATTGATGCTGGGCAGGGAAAAGCCTCTTTTCTTTGCAGAAAGCATTAGTTAGTGGTGGGATTTACAGCCACAAATATGTTTTGACTGCTGGTTTGAGGAGAAGGTTTGGGCAAGCGGAGAAAGAGCGCGCGGTTTGCCAGGGGCTGTTCTAGTGAAGATCAAAGTCAGCTTCGTAAGCCTTGGGACACACAGCAGGGCAAGCCTGTCACTTTTCAGCTTTTCTTGTGAATTTTCCTAAGGATTTTCCTGCCTGACAGGCTGAGATGGTCAGCTTGACCTGATCCAATACAGCAGGAGTGTATTCTTGTTACCCAACAATATGAAGGACAATCATTTCAGCGTTTAAGACAGCTCAGCCATGCCCGCTAAATTTCTTTTTCCAGGCTGCTGTGGTTTGCAAACACAGCTGGTGGCCTACAGCTATCTTTAGCTTGGTTGCATTCAGACAACCGATTACATTGGGTGACTGAGTTAACTCATTTTCGAAGTCTGCCTTTGGGCTGGACGACTGATCCCTCATTGGCAGGGTCACTGGAGATGGTGTGTAGCCAGAAGGGGTTTGTTATCTTGATTTCCACATTCTCCCCTCCCCTTCCTTCTTTCCTGCTTTGGTCCCTCCATGCCGGTAAGTCAACACTGATGATGTTGCCTAGTTGGATAAAGAAACATCTGCAAGAAAACAACCAAACTCAGAGAGCACCAAGGCTCCCAGAGTAAGTCAACCATTTGTGTTGTGTTGCTTTTAGCTGTTCATCACACTTGTGAAGCCTCCAGTTTCCGCTGTCAAAATGGGCACTGCATCCCCCAAAGATGGGCTTGTGACGGAGATATGGATTGTCAAGATGGAACGGACGAAGACCCCGTCAGTTGTGGTAATGGACTTTTTAGATATAGGCAAACTCTCTTTCACTTTGACTTTTAACTTTCTCATAACACAGACTACGGTCAAACATCTCCTAATAAACTAGATCAATTCATCAGAAAGTCTAGAACTTTTAATAAGATGCTTTATTATAGCAAGACCAAGATGCGGCTACAAGAATTCCAGCATATCAAATGGGAGCACTGTTTATACAATCAATGTTCAAGTCTCTTGTGCCTCTTCTGTGTCAATGGCTAAAGACATTTCTCTTTTGGGTAGGTGGGTGAGTAGATGGAGAGAGGCAGTTTCCATCTGTTTCTTGCATTGGGTGGTCGCCAGATCTGGTACCATGTGAGAATATCTAAAAGGTTAAATCATAGCAACTAGACCAAAATTTTGTTGCTCATCCAAGCAACTTCATCAGTCAAAATAAAAATTAGATAGACAGAGAGTCATCGGAATGTACCAACTCTTAACTTACCAACTTCTAATTTTTATTTTGACTGATGAAGTTGCTTGGATGAGCAACGGAAGGTCTCAGATTAACAAACGTTGGTCCAGTTGCTACGATTTAACCTTTTAGATATTTTTGGCCTGGAAGATTGAGTCTTCACTGACCATGTGAGAAGTAATTTCCCCAGCCGCCTCATCGCCCTCTATCCAGTTCTCGTTGCTTTGGTGAAAACCAGAGACGTTCATTCTAGGTTTGCTGGGAGTCTCATGTATTTAAAACTTAAGTTTGCTTTCTTTGCTTCCTTGTGGGATTGGTTGGCAGAGAAGAAATGCAACGGTTTTCAGTGCTCAACGGGGGTGTGCATCCCTTCTAGCAAGCGGTGCAATGGGGCACGGGACTGTTCGGATGGCTCAGATGAACAACACTGTGGTGAGTGTACTGGAGTGCGTGAATGTTGTAGCCAGGGTGACTGGGGGGTGGCTGGGAAACCAGAAAGGAAACTAACTCCCAGACATTGGAGAACAACTTTTAATTGGCATTTGCAATTGTTCGTTTCACTCTGCATGTACAGGTAGTCCTACAACTTCACCACCGTTTAATTTAGGGACTGTTTTGAAAGGACAATAGCATTGAAGAAAGTAACTTGTATCTGGTCCTCATATTTACGACTCTGGCAGCATCCCCTTGGTCACATGATCAAAATTTGGGGCACTTAGAGCAAATTGGGCCACTGAAATGTTGGGCTCAGTTCTGCTTGTGAGTCAAGGACTACCTGTAAAACTTTCTTTCCCAATGTTTATTCTCTCCTTCCTGCCACTCTGGAGAATCCCTCTGTACACGCTACATGGATTTCATGTGCAAGAACCGGCAACAGTGCCTGCTGCGCTCCATGGTATGTGACGGCACCGTGCATTGCCGCGATGGCTCGGATGAAGATCCCGCCTATGCCGGGTGTTGTAAGTGAAGCTGCTAAGAAAATGGGATTTCCAGGGTTGTGGAATTTCCCTTTCCTAAACAAGAGCTATGTTACTTGCAGCCCAGGATCCAGAGTTCCATCGCACTTGTGACCAGTTCAGCTTCCAGTGTCAGAACGGCGTGTGTGTCAGCTTGGTGTGGAAATGTGACGGCACCGATGATTGTGGAGATTACTCGGACGAGGCAAACTGTGGTGAGTGGAGAATGTTCCCCTAGGACAGGGGTAGGCAACCTTGGCTCTTTTATGACTCGTGGACTGTAACTCCCAGAATTCCTGAGCCAGCCATGCTGAGAGGAAAGGGAGAGGTTTCCATGCTGAGCCATGCTGGCTCAGGAATTCTGGGATTTGAAGTCCACGAGTCATAAAAGAGCCAAGGTTGCCTACCCCTGCCCTAGAAGGAAAGGAGACATTGTGGGTGTGGGAAATGAATCACGGCACGTATCATGACCTCATCATCCAGCCACGTAATCTGTACAATTACACCATTACATGGAGGATACTATTCTGTTGCCATTGTGGTTATAAGTCCATGCAGTTTTGCTTTGTTCTAATTTCAGAAAACAACTACAGTTAGTCCTCGACCTATACAACACTCCATTTAGGGACGGTTCAAAGTTACAATGGCGCTGAAAAAAGTGACTTATGACCGTTTTTCACACTTAATGACCGTTGCAGCATCCCCATGATCATGTGATCAAAATTCGGATGCTTGGCATCTGACTCATATTTATGACCGTTGTGTCCCAAGGTCAATTGATCTCCTGTTGTGACCTTTTGACAAGCAAAGTCGATGGGGGAAGCCGGGTTCACTTAACCATCATGTTACTAACTTCTTAACTCTGATGATTCACTTAAGAACTGTGGCAGTTGGAAAATAGGGCAAAGCTTAACCAATGTTTCACTTAACAACAGAAAATGTGGGCTCAGTTGTGGTCTACCTGTACACCCTCAGCATTTAAGGTGGTGAAAACTAACTGGGAATATTTTGTCCTGGCTAGAAAACCCAACTGAAGCCCCCAGCTGTTCTCGGTACTTCCAGTTCCAGTGTGACAATGGCCACTGCATCCCCAACCGATGGAAGTGTGATCAAGAAAACGACTGTGGCGATTGGTCGGATGAGAAGTCGTGTGGGGGTAAGAGAGAGAGGGAGAGGGAGGGAGGGAGAAGGAGGGAGGGAGAGAGGGAGAGGGAGGGAGGGAGAGAGAGGGAGAAAGGGAGAGAGGGAGAAGGAGGGAGAGAGACGGAGAGGGAGGGAGGGAGAGAGGGAGAGGGAGGGAGAGAGAGAGGGAGAAAGGGGGAGAGAGGGAGAGAGAGAGAGGGAGAAGGAGGGAGAGGAAGAGAGGGCGGGAGAGAGGGAGAGAAAGAGAGAGAGAGAGAGAGAGAGAGCTCTTTTCCAGTTGCACAGAGTTCGTCTTGTGAGGCCCTGGGGTTGGGAACTGTGTTTTTGTAGATGCAGAACTAAAATTGCATTTGCCTTTTTGGCCACAGCGTCCTGCTATTCACTTACATTTTGTTTCGAATAAATGACTGTTGCAAAAACCGTCGCATTCCACGGATAAAATCTGTCAGGATCCTTCTGATTGTATTTCTCTCATGCGTAGTATTGGCTTTGTTTCATTGCAAGTTTGAATTTTAAAAAAATCCCCCCATCCCCACCTTTTAAATCAGAGTTCCCCAAACTTGTCAACCAGCATGAGGAATTCTGGGAGATGAAATCCACACGTCTTAAAGTTGCCAACTTTGGAGACATCCCCCGCACCCCAATCTATGTCATGTATACATTTTTGGAAGCAGAAAGGCCCAGGATTGAATCTTGTGGCACCCTGTTTGCTGCCCTTGTCCAGACAGGTGAAGTACCTGCCTGCTGATCGGCTGTAGCCTTCTCTTTGGGAAGAGCAGTCTGTGCAAAGACCCCAGCAGAAGCAATCTTCTCAAGAGAAGTTTGGGGATAAATAATGGAGAAATAGTATTATGATGAATCTCAATGTCTTGCTTTGGCTGTCCTGGTTTTGGACATGGGACACTAATCTGGATGGTTTAGGTCAGGGGTGGGCAACTATGGGCCCTTTACAACCTGTGGACTTCGAGCCAGCCATGTAGGCTGGGGAAATCTCTGTGTTAAAGTCCATAAGTGTTAAAGTTGCTAAGTTTAGAGACCCCAGCTCTACAACAATAAAGTAGCATTCTTGGAATCCCCAGTTTCTTGACTGGCCTACATTGAGGTTCTACTCTGACGTTGATCTGGTTGAAATCTAGGCTCTGCAGTCATCGCCATCACCACGGCAACTCCTGCCACGTGTGCCCCAAATCACTTCCGGTGTAATAGCGGGACGTGTATCATGAACAGCTGGGTTTGCGATGGATACCGAGATTGTGCTGATGGATCCGATGAGGAGGCCTGCCCCACTGCACGTAAGGCGCCCTTCTCTTTGGGCTTGCTCCTTTCACCCTTTGCTAGACATCGGTTTTAGTGGGCTGGGCAAGAAAAGGGAGGGGGGGAATGACCTCACACCATTGCGCAAATGACACAAATTGCATCATTCATGTTAGGATGGAGAAAGCCTAAGAGCTGCCAGATGTTCCAACAATAGGGAGGAGGCACAGAAAAGCCAACTTCCAGGAATCTTGGAAGATGATTAACTTGCTTTCCAGTGCCATCGGTTAGCAACCTGTAGCCACTGGAGATATGCTACGTTCACTCATAATACTAAGACCGGATTTTTTAGCAAGGGGTTGAGGAACAAGCATTAGTGGCTTGGCCTGTGCAGACAACTAACCACAACTCCTGGTTATGCACTAAGTCCATATGGATCAATTTGCATATTATACTGGGAGGAGGAGGAAGGACTGTGGGGTCTTTACTAGTCTGTGAGCTTGGCGGTTTTCTTCCAGAAGTTTCATTACCCAACTAGGGAACATCTTCAGTGCTAGAAGAGGGTGGGTTTGGGGTGGGCAGGAGAAGGAGGAGACCAAGTCCAGTATATCTCAGGGATACCAAATTTGGAAAAACTCTTGGGGCCAATTGGTAGAGGACAACCTGGCTAAGGTCCCATGTAAAATGATCGAACATCTTCAAACATGGAAAGGTCCTTTTGCAGGACCAATTCCTTAAAGGAATGCTACATGAACATCTCTGCTTTGATTGGATGGGGAAGGCATCCTTTTTGCTGAAGTAGCCAGCCCAGATGTGACTGAGTGCACCAGCTTCTGATGGATCAGATTTAGTATTAAGAAGGATCAGATCATGGTTTGGAAGCTGCAGTCAAGTTTTCTCCTGTCCCAACAGATTCAGGCTGCCATCTGGTGGTATGGGAAGCAAAGGAACTGGCTTTGCCTACAAAAATAAATTGTAGCCCAAGGAAGCTAGCTTCTAACGCAGTGTTTCTCAACCTTGACTATTTTAAGATGTATGGGTCAACTCCCAGAATTTCCCAGAAGTTTACTAACAGCTTTCAAAGATGATGTGTTCAGAGCAATGTTTCTTAACCTCGGCCATTTTAAGATGTATGGACTTCAACTCCCAGAATGGCTGGCAGTAGAATTCTGGGAGTAGAAGGCCACAAATCTTAAAATGGCTGAAGTTGAGAAACATTGCTCTAATGAAGCAGGGTAATAGTATCTCTATAGCTTCTGATGTTTTTTTCCACCTTCTGCCCACCCAGCTGTCGGTGCCAGTTCCACGTCTGCCAGTGTCCATGGACGTTGCAGCCGCTTTGAATTTGAGTGCCAGCAGACCAAGAAGTGTGTCCCAAATTGGAAACGCTGCGATGGCTTGAAAGATTGTCAAGACGGCACGGATGAACTCAACTGCCGTAAGTCTTTGTTGGTTTTAGTGGGAACTCTGTGAAAGATTCCTGCTATCCCAGGAGTTTCCCTTGCCGTCTTCTCTTGCCAGACAATGCTGGGAACCCTCTGGAATGGCTTCCAATCCGTACCATTGGTTTTGCCTTCCTGAAAAATGACCGTGTATCTTTGATGCTCACAACTAGTGTCTCGTTTCTCCATTCATTGGGTTCAAACAGATCATACAAACCCATAATGTTGGTTGGTCATGAATGAACAAACCCTACAGTTGTGGTGATTAAATAATGGTAGCTCATTTCACCATTAACTGGGATCAAACGCATCATACAAAACCATGTTAACCAGTCATGAACAAACCCAACGGTTGTATGAATAAACCATAGTAAGCTCATTTCTTCATTAATTTGATTCAATTAGATGTTACACAAATTTAACATTGGTTGATCATGAATGAAAAAAACAACCAACAATTGTGATTGGTTAACCACGGTAGCTCATTTCTCCATGAATTTGAATCAGTTAGATGTACAAAACCATAATGTTGGTTGGTCATGAATGAACAAACCTAATAATTGTATGAATAAACCATGGTAACTCATTTCTCCATTAATTTGATTCAATTAGATCAGAGTTGGGGAATGATGGCCCTTTTATGACTTGTGGACTTCAACTCCCAGAGTTCCTGAGCCAGCATGACTGGCTCGGGAATTCTGGGAGTTGAAGTCCAAAGGTCATAAAAGGGTCATCGTTCCCCATCCCTGAATTAGATGGTACAAAACTGGTTGGTCATGAATGGACAAACCCAGTGGTGATGAGTAAACCACGGTAGTTCATTTCTCCATTAATTTGATTCAAGTAGCCCATACATGACCATAGTATTGGTTGGTTATGACAGAACAAACCCAACAATCGTGATGGCTAAAGATCTACTAGGCTTTCAGGAAAAGCAATGGCACCAAAATTCAGGAATACTTCTACTATTCAAAAGACGGCAAGATTACTTAACGCGAGGCAACTAAGTAGATCCTCCCCATCTACTTGTTGTAAGATGGCAGTGTTGCATATTTTTCTGTCTTCCAGCGACTCACAGCACCTTGTTATGCCCTAGTGGATTCAGATGTGAAGATGGGGAGGCCTGCATCATGAAGATGGAACGATGTGACGGTTTTCTGGATTGTCCAGATAGCAGCGATGAAAAGAACTGTACTGGTAAGTCCTGACATGTAAACAAAAATCCGAAAACAATGAAGCCAGTGGAATCCAATCCAATCCAATAGCTTTATTATGGTCTTTAACCAGCCTTTTCATTAAAAAAAATGTACAGGGAAAAAGAGAAATCGTACGACACAACAGTTTGTTATAGGGGAAGGGGAAAAAAATAATAGGACAATAAAATGTCCTATCGAATTAAAAGTTCTATAACTTGGTGAAGATATTTGACTACCCAATACAAATAGTCCTCGACTTATGGCCACAGCTAAGCCCAAAATTTCTGTGATTAAGCGAGACAGTTGTTAAGCAGGTTTTGCCCCATTTTATGACCTTCTCTGAGACAGTTATTAAGTGACTTGGCTTAACAACTGCCATAAAAATGGTCGGTTTGGGTCCGGTCGTGTGCTGCCACCACTTAACCACCTCGGTGACGTACGACTGGAATTTCAATCCCCAATTGTCGTCGTACGTAGAGGACTACCTGTTTCCCATCCAATGAGGCTGGTGGGTGGAGCCCAGTTCAGAAGGCCTGTCTCACGGTGGCTTTTCCCCCAGGTGTTTCTTGCTCCCATCGTCCTCTGCCTCTACTCTGCTTGTTCCGTCAGCAAAACTCCAGCCCTCGATTCATTATGGCTGAGATAACATCGCCATTAATGGCCATCGATCGCCCATTCCGTTTGACAGCATATCTCTTCCCATGCGGCCGTGCAGCCCCCTTCCTCCCCAAGCAGGAAGGGTCATTGAGCATCCATCAGTCTTTAATTAAATATTGATTGGGAGAAGTCTGCCCAGGTTCTGTCCACCCACCACAACGTGGAAAACGTCCACCTGGCTGGAATTTTAAAAGAGCGGCGCTCAACTGCTTTGAAGCCGTGTCCCAAGGGCAGGGAAGCTGATATTAGAGAATTTAGTGGATCAGGGGAAAGACTAGGAACGGATTGAACTATTCTGTTTTTATTTGGGGGCGTTTGTGGGGAAGGGGCCACGGAGGAAGCGAGGTCGGGAGCTCAGCTGTGGCCGTTGATCTGTGCAACTTGGGCAGAAGCCCACTTGAACTCAACTAAGTTGCCAATCATTTGGGGGGTGGTGGATCCAACTCTCTTGAATGTAGCCCCTCCATCATTAACCTTTAAGAAGAATCTCCAAGCACAATTTATAAGGATAATATGGGAAGTCCTTGACTTACCCACAGTTCACTTAGTGATCGTTTGAAGGTACAACGGCACTGAAAAAAAATGACTTAGGACCATTTTTCATACTTATGACCGTTGCAGATCCCGGAGGGGGTCATGTGATCCCCTTTTGTGACCTTCTGACAAGCAAAGCCAAGGGGGGGGGGGAACCAGGTTCACTCAACAACAACCGGGTTACTAACTTATCAACTGCAGTGATTCACTTAACAAGTGTGGCAAGAAAGGTCGTAAAACAGGGCAAAACCCACGTAACAAATGTCTCGCTTAACAACAGAAATTTTGGGCTCAGTTGTAGTCATACGTTGAGGACTACCTTTGCCAAAGTTTGGGTCCTGGTGATCGGTTGTATTAGCTGCTGTGGACTGGCCTGTATGCAAGGAGTGCATAGTATGTAAATGGATTGGATGGATGGATGGATGGATGGATGGATGGATGGATGGATGGGAGGGAGGGAGGGAGGAAAAAAGGATAGAGGAAGGAAGAAAGGAAGATAAAGGAAGGAAAGAAGAAAGGAAAGAAGGAAGGAAGGGGAAGGGAAGGAAGGAAGGAAGGAAGGAAGGAAGGAAGGAAGGAAGGAAGGAAGGAAGGAAGGAAGGAAGGAAGGAAGGAAGGAAGGAAGGAACCTTTAGCCCAGAACACTGTTTCTGCACAGAGGTGGTGATAATCTCAATCCCTTCTTTCCAGTCCTAATCAAAGTCAGGAATTCTTTCATATATATATTTTTTTTTACATAGATGATACTCTTGTCTATAAGGTTCAGAACCTTCAGTGGACAGCTGACTTTTTAGGCAACATCACTTTATCCTGGGCTCAGCCGAAGAAGATGCCTCTCTCTTCCTGTGTCTACAATATCTACTACAGGTAGACTGTCTGATTTTAGCATTCTTGCTAACAACTCCTGACATCAGGGAGCTTGACTGCAGGCTTAAAATTAGGCCCCGTGTGCTAACATAGAACCTCTTATTAGTACAATTGCTATTCCATTCATGGCATATGCAGCAAATTGTACGGTACTCTGTGCAGCTCCTAAATTAGCTTTTCTTGGTGGGAATTCAAGGGGTGAGAAAGCAGAATCGAGCTGTGTCCTTTACCAATGTTGACGTTTCACTGACCTGATTTGCACATTAGAATGTGCTCCTACGTAACTGCGTTTTCCTGAGGAACCTAAAAGTGGCTGGTTTCATACAACACACTAAGTCACACTCTAGTCCTATTGATGCTTAGCGTGCATGGACCCAAACACGGATGGAATTAAATGTATTTCTAACACTATCAAGACAAATGATTGATGCATGCATGGAATAGTTTCAAAAACTGCCTGTCAATCACTCCGCCACAGTGATGTTGTGGTTTTTGGTCCACTCCCAAATCTAGGATGGTGGGAGAAAGCATGTGGAAATCGGTGGAAACCCACAGTAGCAAAACCAACACCATCTTGAAAGTACTGAAGCCAGATTGCACCTATCAAGTCAAGGTCCAGGTCCAGTGCCTGAGCAAAGTATACAACACCAACGATTTCATAGTCTTACGGACCCCTGAAGGACGTAAGCGAGTCCATTTCTTCACAGCCCGCATGGGATAAAGGTGGGGTAAAAACTCATATTGCTTGGGCCCAAGTATTTAATTACAGAGGAGAAGATCTCTTGCTCTATAAATGATCTCTAAATGTTAGATGTTCAGGGCAGGAATCCCAAATCACCTTATCCTACAGATGTTGATTGAGGTTCTCCAACCAAATAGAGGCCACCAACCCTTCTGGGACGTTGATTCCTTCCAAGCCACTCTTGCTGTTGGGAACCTTCTACCTTCTTCATTTTTCCTAATTTTCAAGCAAAATCTGTCCCTCAAGATCACTGTTCCACGTTCTGCATTCTGGAAAGATACAGAAGGAACAGTCCCTTTCAACCTTCTCAAGGCTGTGAATCCCATTTCTTTCTACCTTCTTCATCTGATGGGCATGTGTCTGTAGCATTATGTAGAAAGGGTGGTTGAATTGTTTAATTTCTGCAACTGCAAGGAGATCATTCAGTTGGAGAGCCATGCTTGACTCACGGGTGTCTTGTCCTTTTTACCAAAGAAGGATGCGTAGAAGAATGGGCTCTCAATGGCTGTCAGAGTTGATAGCTTTTGGGGGTCTACAAACTAGACCCCAAACACTGCCGACTAGACACACTAGGGCTGGGTACCACCAGGGCAAGGAGACAAGTTGCTCTATTCTTCAAGCTCCTGAATTTCATGCATCTGGTTGGCCAATAAGAGATACAGAAATCTGGGATTGATCAGTTCCTGGCTTGCTCCAACAGGACTACTTACCTACTCATCTTCCTTCCTCCTTCCCTCTTTCTCTTTCTCTCTCTCCAGTTCCAGATCCCCCCTGCCATCTTCAACTGCAGCTGAAGAAAGAAGCTGAAGGCATTGTGGTTTGCCAATGGGCCCCTCCCGCAAATGCCCATGGTCTAATCAGAGAATATGTTGTAAGTATCTCAGTGTACTTTGAGATAAGCTGACCCCAATGATGAGAATTGATTTTAACAGGCATTCAGGTATAAGGGGCACCATTTTACCTCCAGTGATCTTACTCAATTGCAGTTTCGCTCCACAAATATACAAGGTCAAACCTGCAGATTCAAACCTTTCATTTGAGGTCAGGGCATCTTAAAGATTTAGCCTGCTGAAGGCGACTTTAGCAATTAGATGGTTGTCCCTGTTTTTCCATCCTGGTAGGTGGAATACAGCAGAGCTGGATCAAAGGAGTGGTCTTCTGTGAGGGCTCCCACCAACTATTCAGAAGTTGAGATGTTGCAAGTCAACGCCTTATACGTTTTCAGAGTGAGTAGATGTTTTATTAGACCTCTATGAGCATCAACTGATCTTGGCCTGTAGAACTAGGAGATTGCTATTCTTCTGTTGTCCCAAAAAGAACAGATATTTAAAGGGCAGTGGATTCAGTGTAATGTAGCCAATCAAAGGACAGATTCTGATGGAACCTCAACTATCAGGATTGTTTAACAATGGAGCCAGTTAACTAGGGGAGGAATGTCCTTGTAGAAGCTTCTTCTGAGAATGTCTTCCAGATTTCTTGTACCAAGCAAGAATCTTTCTGTCTTTGTTCTTCTCTAAACATTTTCCTTGATGGAGACATCTTGGGTGGTTCCTTTGCTGAGAATAACCCATAGTTGTTTGGGAATCTTCTGCATGCTTAGCGATCACCACCTTCCTCCACCACAGTTTTCCTGTGGATCTGGAGATCCTTCAGCCCAAGGTCCACCTGGCCACCACTCTGGTCTATTCACGGCTGTTGGGATCCATCACTTGGCAGAAGTCTTCTGGCTTTTGGGGAGTGGCCTTCCCGAAGCTTTTGAGTTGTATTGGCTGGGAATACTGGGTTTTATAGTCCCTATCCCTTCAGGAGAGGGTAGAATAATTCTGTTTTTGAGCACTTGGCATTTCCTTCAGAATAACAGCAAATATGTCATTTGTTCCTCCCTCTCCTCCTTGCCGTTCACTTTTAAACTTCCTTGGCGTTTGTTTGTTTTAAAAAAGAGCTATTTTACCGAGGGAAATTCTCCTGCCTATTTTAACAAGCTTTCTGTTTGGAAAAGGTTGCTGCAGTAACGAGCCGTGGCGTGGGCAACTGGAGCGATTCCAAATCCATACGAACTATAAAAGGCAAAGGTAAAACCTTTCCAGGATTAATTTCTTGAATTCTTTTGTTGCACTAGACACCGAGGTTGGTAAACACAGCTAGATGGCAGCAGCTATTCAAGTCTGGCTGGTCTCCAAAAGCTCAGGAGATCTGCCTCGGCTTTGACTTGCACGAGAGGGATCCCAGAGCTGTGACAGAGAAGGACCTCCTTGAGCAATGCGGTAGAAAGCACTTCCACATGGTTGCCCCAAAGCCCATCGTGTCCATGAAATCACCCATCTTTGAGCTGACACACAAAGAGATGCTTTACTTAATTTCAGGATACAACTGCCCTATGGTGCCACTTTAAATACATATAGATATATGCATACACATACACGTACATATGTACATATATGTATATGATGTGTATATGATTATATGTATATATGTGTATGTATTATATGCATATGTATATGTATTATATGTATATGTATATATGTATATGTATTATATGTATATGTACTATTTGTATACTGTCCCCAAAAATAAGACCCAACTGGAAAATAAACTCTAGCATAATTTTCAGGATGCTCATAATATAAGCCCCACCCCAAAATAAGCCCCAGTTAAGATTGTCAGCCAGACAGACACATTTAGTACCATATTTCCCCGAAAATAATCCCTAATGCGGCTTTTGGAGCAAAAAATTAATATAAGACCCGGTCTTATTTTCAGGGAAACACGGTATGTATTTAAATTGGAAGCACACCTTCCCACCATAGGCCAGTTATATCCTGCTATTGAGTTATATACCAGTGCATGAATTACAGATGTTCCTCGCCATGGGAACATGATTAAACCCAGAATTATGATCATAACTCACCGTGGTTGTAAGTTGTATCACATGGCCGGACCCAATTTTTTTGCTGTGGTTGTTAAGCAAACACTGCAGTCCTTAAGCAAACATGGTGGGGTGGGGGTTTAAGCAAACCCATTGGAGTCAAACTGGAAGTAAATGCTGGAAATCGGCAAAAGAACGCTGAAAAACACAGAGTCATGTAAAACTGTAAAAGTGAGTTGGTTGTCACCTTAAATGTGATTGTGTGACTATGTACATGTGTATTGCCAACTGTGTCACTTCGAAAATGGGTTTTAAGTAGCTTTGGGGTGGAGTGGGATGTCCACTGTGTAGGGTTGTTAAGCGCCTGATAATAAGTTGAGGACTTGAAAAGGAACTATTGTCCATGAAAGAGCACATTAAATAGAGTTGGCTGGTCATCCATGGGATGTCCTTCCAGTTAATTGGAGTCTCCTGATGTCTGCTTATCTATCCATGTTCAATCTCATGTCTCTTCCTTTCTCTCCTTTGACTGCATCCAGTGATTCCTCCTCCAACGATCCACATCGATAATTACGATGAAAACTCCATAAGCTTCACCCTCAGACTAGACGCCAATATTCAGGTGAGATATATTCTTTTTATTTTTAATGGCTACTTTTAACGATCTGTACGGTTGGTTCCCAAGTGCTGCACCCTCAATACCTTTCCTAAGAGGGATCAATCAGAAATAAAAATAAAACTGGAATTTTGGGAAGGGTAGGAGAGAAATTATCTAGTATGTGTTTGTGTGTGTGTGTGTGTGTGCAGTTTTTTTTTTGGTTTGTTTGTAGTACCAGTCTACAATTCCTGGGAAGAAGAATGCTTAATTATACTAATTCTACATAAATACATTATTGAGGCCAGGATCTAATTAGCCAAAATTGGCTTTCCTCCCTGATTTCACCTGAATTCTAATTCTGTTTAGCCCGGCCCTGGAGCAGTTTGGAGAAGTTAGACCTCCTTGTCTTCATCCCTTTTTTCACAATCATAATATTTCCGTATTCTCAAAACAGCTTTTATAAAGGTTCTCATTTATTAAAAAATAATAATTGCCTTTTGTTGACAGGGCCCTTTTCTTCCACTCGTGTAAAACCAAACCAAATTGATCAGTTATTTATTTGTCTGTCTTGTCCATCTCATATTGCTGGTTGACAGGTGAACGGTTACGTCGTGAAAATTTTCTGGACTTTTGACACCCACCGACAAGAAAAAAGATCATTCTTTATAGATGGAGGGAAGTCGGCCCAAACAGGTAAGGTTACCTGAGCAAAATTACCAGAGAACACGGAGATCCAGTCCCCAATCCAACCTTAGCCATGGAATCAAATAGTTTTATTGTGCTCAAAGGCAAGTATATAACAATGCAGGGGATACAGATATAGAGATAGATAGATAGATAGATAGATAGATAGATAGATAGATAGATAGATAGATAGATAGATAGATAGATAGATAGATAGATGATAGATAGATAGATAGATATCTTTGTTTATTTTGCCCCAATCTCCCTCCCTCCCTCCCTCCCTCCCTCCCTCCCTCTCTCTCTCTCTCTCTCTCGATCTATCTATCTATATATTTATCTATCTATAACATATCTATTGATCTATCGATCTATCACAGTGGTGGCGAACTATGGCACGGGTGCCAGAGGCGGCACTCAGAGCCTTCTCTGTGGGCACGCGCACCGTCGCCCCAGTCCTAGGCCTTCAGCTAGGTTTTATAAAACCTTTTCGCTTCAGGCCTCCGCTGCCATGTGCAAAAAAAAAAAAAAAAAAAAAAGGTTCAATCAATCAGTCAATTTCAACTTCTCATGGGAAAAAAAAAAGATCTTGCAAAGTTGGAATTGATTGATTGAACTTTTTAGTCCCACCCGGTCTATTGTTACCACTGCAGCCACACCCAGCCAATGGGCCACACCTACCCAGCACCTGACGATGCATAAGTGGGTTTTGGGTTGCAGTTTGGGCACTCGGTCTCTAAAAGGTTCGCCATCACTGATCAATCACATCTCTATCTCTATCTATCATCTATCTATCTATCTATCTATCTATCTATCTATCTATCTATCTATCTATCTATCTATCTCTTATCTATCTATCTATCTATCTATCTATCTATCTATCTATCTATCTCTTATCTATCTATCTGTCTATACACACACATACATAGAGGCAGACCTCAACATAGGACTATAATGGAGCTGCCCATTACGGTTGTATGTTGTGACCATCGTAAATCAAAGTCATGATCGATTTTGCAACTTTTTTGCAGCAGTCATTAAGCGAACGCCACGGTCATGAAATGAACACGGTAGTCATTAAACAAATCTATTGTTCACTGTGACCCTGATTTTGCCAAAAACTCGAAGGAACATCTGGTTTTTCTGCAAAACCCGTCATAAAAGGAACTCGTGTCACTGTGGCATGCTGCCCACAGCTGAAAATGAAACCCTGGGGCCAAGCACCCAAAGGGCAGATCATGTGATTGGGGGGGCATCATCAGAAGTTTGGAACCAGGTCACAGCTCCCTTTTTCCAGGTAAGTCATAACTTTGGTCGCTAAATGAGTCATCTAAGTTGAGGACTGCCAGTATATATATATATATATATATATATATATATATATATAGAAAGCTCTATGGGTTGCACATTTTGTTTATGGCTCCTCTTCAAACCTTTCTTTTCTTTGGCAGTGCAGGAAGCGATATCTATCGTGGTATTATATTCATTTTATATATTAATATAATTATATTAATTTTTGCTCGAAAAGATGCATTAGGGCTTATATTAGGGGAAATATGATACTAAGCCTGGTTGAGGATCTTAACTGGGGTTTATTTTTTGGGTGGGGCTTATATTACAAGCATCCTGAAAAAAATCAGGCTAGGACTTATTTTGCGGCTGGGTCTTCTTTTCGAGGAAAGACAGGGTACGTGTCTCCAACTAATTCCCCTTTTTTTCCTTCCCCCAGTGAGGAACCTGACTGCTCAGACACCGTATGAAATTTCTGCCTGGGCTAAGACGGAACTGGGGGACAGCCCGCTCTCTTTCGCACACGTGGTGACCCGCGGCACAAGGCCCTTCCCCCCCAGCCTGAAGGCCAAAGCGGTCAACCAGACGGCCGTTGAATGCAACTGGAGCGGGCCAAGGAATGTGGTAAAAATGAGACTTCTTCCATTCATCCCATGCGCTGAAGATCTGTGGTTCTTTATGTGGTTGAGAGTTGTCGCTTTCTTGATGGGGAGGGAGGGAGGAACAAAGTGTTTTTAGAACCGTGTTCTGGAGTTCCGTCAAAACCAGATGATGTTCTTAAGAGACTTGTGAAAGAGAGGATCCATCAAATGGAAAGGATCGGTCTTGTTTCCTGGGGAAAAAAAAAGTTTTACAGGTAGTCCTTGACTTAACAGTCACAACTGAGCCTCAAATTTCTGTTGCTATGCAAGACGGTTGCTAAGTGAGTTTTGCCCCATTTTACAACCTTTCTTGCTGCAGTTGCAACTGCAGCAAGAACCACTGCAACTGTGAAGTGAATCCAGCTTACCCATTGACTTTGCTTGTCAGAAGGTCACAGAAGGGGATCCCGGGACACTGCCCCCGTCATAAATATGAATCAGTTGCCAAGGGTCTGAATTTGGATCGCAGGGATGCTACAACAGTCATAAGGGTAAAAAACAGTCATAGATCACTTATTTCAGCACTGTTGTAACTTCAAACGGTCAGTAAATGTATGATTGTAAACCAAGGACTATCTGTATGCTACGGCTGCCATTTTGTGGATTAGGAGATTCTGGGAACTTTTTTTTTTCCCACTCAAAGGTTCCATGGACCAAACATGTTTGAAAACCCTGGGCCTAAAGGATTCTGGGATGTTATTCACAGAACAGCAGAATTAGCATGTTTGTTAATTCTTTCTTATTTCCTCTCCACCCTCGGCAGATATATGGCATATTTTATGCCACGTCTTTCCTGGAACTCTACCGGAATCCTAGCAATGCAACCACAGCTCTCCACAACATGACTGTGATTGTTAACAGAGATGAGCAGTATCTATTCCTGGTAAGGATAGACTTTCAATTCATTCTTGTTGGCAGTTTCTACAAAAACCCAATTCAGTTAACTTAACTGAGAAAGGAGATTTGAAAGTTGTTCCTCTGGTATGCTTTAACCTGGATGGGGTCAAACACTGTGCTAAGCTATACTTTAACCATGATTTGTCCAACGTGCTCTATTAGCTTAGAGTGAGCTTTTTTCTTCCCATTATGGTGGAATTCAAGTTCTCTGATTGAGTGGTAGGTGGAAGGTAAGTTATAAAAGAATGAAAACCATGGGCTTGCAAAGAAGCTAAACCAGAACTAACAGTCATGTTGGTTAGATTCAGCCCATGCTTCGTGAGCTGGAAAATCCACATTGTGCTTTTCAGGAAGTGTGGCTTCAGTGAATAATAATAATGATGATGATGATGATGACGATGGAAGGGACCTTGGAGGTCATCAGGCAGGAAACCCTATACCATTTCAGACAAGTGGCTGTCCAGTCTTCTCTTAAAAATTTCCAGGGTTGGAGCATTCACCACTTCTGGAGGCAGATTGTTCCACTGGTTAATTGTTCTCACTCTCAGAAAATTCCTCCTTAATTCTAGGTTGCTTCTCTCCTTGGTTAGTTTCCATCTGTTGCTTCTTGTCCTGCCTTCTGGTGCTTTGGAGAATAGCTTGACTCTCTCTTCTTTAGGGCAGCCCCTGAGATACTGGAACCCTGCTATTATGTCACCCCTAGTCCTTCTCTTCATTAGACGAGACATAACTTCCAGCAACCGTTCCTTATATGTTTTAGCCTCCAGTCCCCTAATCATCTTTGTTGCTCTCCTCTGTACTCTTTCTAGAGTCCCAACATCTTTTTTACCTCATGGTGACCAAAATTGGATGCAGTATTCCAAGTGTGGCCTTACCAAGGCATTGTAAAGTGGTATTAAGAATTGCTCTACTGATTTCTCGTTTCCTCCAGGTGCGAGTTATTTCTCCCTACCAAGGACCACCTTCAGATTACATTGTTGTGAAGATGATTCCTGACAATCGCCTTCCCCCTCGGCACCTTCACGCTGTCCACCTATCAAAAACATTTGCCATCATTAAATGGGAGTCACCTTACGATTCCCCAGACCAAGATATGGTAAGAGGGTTGCCCCAGTCCAAGCTTGGCCCAACGTTGACTCTACATATGGTTGGGGGTCTTATGATCATGATCTTGGTGCAGCACTTTCTCCTTTTGGAAAGGATGGGAAATATGTCCAATCTTGTTAGCGCCAATTGGAAGACTTTGGATCATGGTTAGCCTTAATAGATTAAACAGAATTATTGTATTGAGGACATCAAGAATCTGGACCAGATACATTCAGATTTGCCTGCATCTCACGTTGTTGTCTGTGATCCTCACAAGGCACACAACGCCAGTCCAGGTTTGGTGAACTGATCCATAAACATGGAACCCTGGGCCTATGCCTAGTGCCAGAGAGGATGGTTCAACATAGGATGCTAGCTTTTGATTCCAAGGCTAATTAGTCAATTAATCCAAGATCAATACTGTCCTAGAAGGGATCTAGCCTTTTTCAGCCAAACTCTCAATGGATCGCTGTTTCCCTAAAGCACTGTCCTTTAACCTTGCGTGGACTTCTACTCCCAGAATTTCCCAGCCAGCCATGCTGGCTGGGGAATTCTGGGAGTAGAAGTCCATACCTCTTAAAGTTGTCAAGATTGAAAGACTCTGTCTAAAAAGATGCTCCAACTGGAATACAATATTTCGTACTGGATGTTGGAAGAAACATTGCATCTCCCGTGTCCTAGTTTCTACCTCTGCTTCTCCCCAGCTGTATGCAGTAGCTGTGAAAGATTTAATAAGAAAGACAGATCGGAGCTATAAGGTGAAGACCCGAAACAGCACGGTGGAATATACTATCAAAAAACTGGATCCTGGTGGAAGATACCACATTGTTATACAGCTAGGAAACATGAGCAAGGAAGCTAATTTGAAAATCAACACAGGTAAGAGTGTTTGGTGTAAGTGCTGAACTTGTCATCATCCGGAGTGCATGCCCCATTGAATTCAATGGGTCTTTTTTTCTGCATTTTATTAAGAAGTTGCTATTACATTGACCTGCTACATCCACCTGTCTCTCCAATTTTTGTTACAGTTTCCTTGGCTGCGCCTGACGCTTTAAAGATTATCCCAGAAAATGACCACATCTTGTTGTTTTGGAAGAGTTTAGCCTTAAAAGAAAGCCAATTTAATGAAAGCCGGGTAAGTTACAGTTGTGTCACAATGACACTCTTTCTCTCTCTGCTGCATTTAATTGACTCCTGCAAAAGATTTCCAGGTTCGTGTGCAAACCGGTTGTGTTCACACAACGCACCAAGCAACAGTTGACAGAATCGTAGTTTATTGTTTATTTGCATTGACAGGATTGTGGCTTATTGTTTATTTACATTGCACAGGGCTACAGTATCTGTGCAGAGCATGCTTTGCAGACCACATTGTCAGAGTTCAGGTAACAGAGTAAGCCCAAACAAAACTACATTATACACAAATGCAATATTATTGTTTAAATGTATTGGCCACCCAAATCCAGTGGACTCTAGGCAGCAAATAAAATGGAAAAAAAAATCAACCAAAAACATTAAATCTTTTTGAAATTTAGTTCGCCCACACTAAAATAATCTAATAAATAACATCAACAGAACAAAACAAAACAAAACAAAACAAAACGGGCCATTTAACAAATAAACTCCACCAGGTTTTCTGAAAGCCAGGAGAGGGAGTGTTGTCACTTTATGCTGTAGACCAGGGATCTTGAAACATGGCCCTTTTATGACTTGTGGTCTTCAACTCCCAGAATTCCTCAGCCAGGCACACTGGCTGAGGAATTCTGAGGAAGTCCACAAGTCATAAAAGGGCCAAGTTTGAAGACCCCTGATGTAGACCAATATTTTTCAACCTTGGCAGTGTAAGATCTGTGGACTTTAACTCCCAGAATTCTCCCAAATTCTGAGAGTTGGTCCAGACATCCAGTTGAAGTCTATCCATCTTTAGGAAGTTGAAGTCCACACATCCTGACCAATCAGGCCACGGTTGAGAAACACTGCTGCAGAGTAAAAGAAATCAGAATAGAATGAAATGCCATCAACATGAAAGCAAATAGAGGACCTCTAACAGATGTCAAACATCATAACCATAAAAGATTATGACTTATGGACTTCAACTCCCAGAATTCCTCAGCCAGGCACTGTTCTAAATACTTTTGTTCACCTTAAATGAATGTGTTCTTTCTGCCTTCAGGGATATGAGGTGCATATGTTTGACAGTGGGACCAATACCACATCGTACCTGGGGAATACTACAGAGAACGTCTTCAAGGTTTCCCACCTGAAGGCCGGCCACAATTACTCCTTCACGGTGCAAGCAAGATGTCTCTATGTTGGGCAGATGTGTGGAGAGCCTGCAACTCTTCTCTTCAGTGAGATGGGAAGAGGTAGGGGGAATGTCTCCATCTCTGGCTTTCCCCCCACATTTCTGTTTGGACCCCCCCCCCCAGAAGAGCAGAGCGGGAGAGACATGAGTTTGGATCCTTCCTCACATTCATATTTCTTCCAGTTGGCCAACATCAGGTCTTCTGCTCAACAAAGCATGTTGAGAAAGACTTTGACCTTTTTCAGAGAATTTCTTGGTATCAGTTGAATCTCTGTGAGCTCTGTTCTTTCATCTTTTTCTCTTTTTCCCTTTTTCTCTGTTCAACCCTTTCCCCCTTTCTGTAGATAGAGAGGCCACTGCATCCATATTGGGCAAATCAAAGGATGTTGCTGCCATCGTGGTACCAGTCTTATTTCTTCTACTAGTGATGGTGGGCGTTGGGTTTGTGGTCCTGTACATGAGGCATCGAAGACTTCAAAATAGCTTCACAGCCTTTGCCAACAGTCACTACAGCTCCCGACTAGGCTCTGCCGTTTTCTCCTCTGGAGATGATTTAGGTAAGTAAGGTCCGAGTCTTAGGAATGCTTGGGTGTAATTCAGAAACACTGCTGGGTTTACATCAAGCCACAAATTGTGCCTGTGCCTGCTCTACCTGGACTGAGGTTTGGTATTAATAATCAGTCCACGGAGATTCTTAGTCATCCAGGTCATGGTTGTCTCAAAAATGCTTTCTGGCAACTGGACTTCCTTGTTTTTCTTTGAAGACATTTTGCTTCTCATCCAAGAAGCCTCTTCAGTTCTGACTGGATGGTGGGGAATGGAAGGATTTATACTTGCAGAGAGCTGGTCATTTGCATTGAATATAAATCCTTCCATTCCCCACCATCAGTCAAAGCTGAAGAGGCTTCTTGGATGAGAAGCAAAATGTCTTCAAAGGAAAAACAAGGAAGTCCAATTGCGGCTTGATATCCAGACAATATCCAGTTGCCTTTGGGATATTAATAAACAGCTTGTTAAATTTCCACCTCAGCCATTTCCAGAATCCATTGGAGTTGGGTGATGAATGAATGAATGATTTAATTTGGGTTCCTTTATTGAGTCTGAATTAAGTGGTCTCATTAGGCCACATTTTCTATATAATTATTTATTATAAAAGAATGAAATGCAAAGTGGAAAAATAGAAAAATACGCATCCAACTCTAACAACAACAAAAAAAAGCAGAAAAAAAATTGTGTACAAAAAAGGGAAAGAATGACCCAAATATCCAATAAATTTAACATTAAATGTAAAGAATCCACCTTGATTAGATGCTGAAAATAAATAAATTTTAAAAAAAACTGATAAATTCTCCTCCCCTTTACATAACGGGTCTCCAAATAGTTATAAGCTTTCCCATCCCTGTTTAACAAGAATACTATATTAAATAAAAAAAAATTCCAGGGGAGGGGATCTCTATCTAGTAATCAAATTGACCTAACATCTGATCATAATATGGTATCATAAAAGAAATAAAAAACAGTCAACAGGTTAGACCAAACATTGCACTAATCCTCAAATCCCTTAGTTAACCATCGTTTATTGAGCTTTTCCAAACTTCTATGGATCACGGTGAGGACGTAGGGATGATCCCCAGTGATCCTCCATGCCCATCTCTACACTTCTTCGTGTCTTGAATGTCTCTCATTGTCGTTGAGTGTCAATCACCTTGTGGCTTGATTTACCAGGAGATGAAGACGACGAAGCCGCGATGATTACGGGTTTTTCAGACGACGTCCCCATGGTAATAGCATGAAGAAGGCTTCTGATTCCGGAAAGCAAAAACAAACAAACATAAAGTGGTGTAAATATTTTATTTGATAAAGAAAAAAAAAAGTCAACTGTTTATTTTAAAAAAAAAAACAAAACTAAAAAGCACTTTTGAGTTGCAATACATTATTTTTGTATCGGCTGCAAAAAAAAAAGAAAACTAAAAAGAAGTAACGATTACACTTTGTAGCACACTGCTGTGAAATTTCAAATCAGGTTGATTAGCGAGCGTTTTCTGTGGTTGGGGTTTCTTTCCTTCTTCTTCTTCTTTTCCAAACTTCACTTTAGTCTTATGCCTCCTGGGCACACCTTTTGATTCGGTGAGGTCTTTCCCATTGGCAATGACTTTGATCCTCTGAGAACCTGTGAATAGTTGGGAATCTTGGGACAGTTTGGCTCTGAAGAAGTCAGATGGAAACCAAAGGATAGTAGCTTGTCCTTAAGAGAGTCCTTCTTTGCAATGTGAGCTAATGAAATGGTATTGCCAGGTTCTTCGTTGCCCTGTGTTCCACAGATCACTGAGTATGCTGGGCATTGCATGAGACAGAAATATTTCCAATTTCATTTGTTTTTTTCCTGGGTTAGACCCCTGCAGGCATTTCCCCACCTTTTGATATGAAGTAATGAGTCACACAAGAGACTGGACATTGTTGAATTGTTGTCCATGGCAGCCATAGGATGCCAGCCCCTTATTTCTAGTTTGACCTCTGCAAGTTGACTTAGATATTATTCAGAGATTTGTAGTAATCTTGTGGGGAGAACACTGATCTTCTTCTTCTAATGATTTGGATTCTCACTTTTTGGAAGCAGACATCTCTAGTTTTGGCTCACTTGAACACCAAGCGTAGGTAAGATTCCTAAAGAAGTAAAAGGAGGAGAAAAGCACTCCGAAGATGTGCTGAAACCTTGCTGCTACAAACCCCTGAGGTTTTCAGGGATATTGGCTTAAAATCTATACCCCAGAGTTATGAATTTACTTTAAAATGACCTCGTTCTCTCAGGATCAATCTCAACCATCTTCAGGTTTTCTTTCTCTGAGTGTTTATTTTTCCTAAGCAAAAAAAAAAAAAAAAAGTTATTTTAAAAAAATGTTTAGGAAATCTATAATTTTATCTATATCTGTCTATAAAGAGAGAAGGAATAGTTCCTAAAGATTTTACATTGACTGAAAGATAAAAAAAATATTTGTATTATGTTTTATAGGAGGGGTGGGGTTTTGTTTCTGGGTTTTGTTTTTTTTAATTTTTGGTCGGTTCAATTAATTTATTAGGAAATCTGCTTTTGATCAGAGTTCCAAATTCTCAGCCATGCACATGATTGTTGGTTAGCAACACGACACTTTAATCTATTTTTGCAAAACGCTGGATTGTTCTGTTTGTTTTCTGTCTCCTGTAGTTGCATCAGGCATGATTGCCTCAGTAAAACACAATCACAACCTTTTTTTGAAAAAAAAAAATCTCTGAATACTTTTTCATGCTTTGTGAGAAAGTAAAAAGGTCAGGCGGGTAGAATGAAAATCTTACGAAGTTGTCACACTGAGGGCTTAAATGCTTTCTGCAGATTACTTTGCACGTGTTCGTAGATGCAAAAACAAACAAAAGGTTCAACAAGTCTATTTTGTTCTGTTTTTCTTATTGCTTTGCCTGGAGTCTGTAGACGCTGATGCAGCCTCAAGAGGTTGGTGGGCTTCAGCCCCCTTTTACAAACAATACTTTATGAAATGGGACTTTCTCCTTATTGAAATGGAGCCATCAGTACAAACACTATATTGCTTTGCATAACGATGTCGGTGATGATTTGGTAGACTCAGTGGCTCCCCAAATGTTCTCCAGGACCTTCTGGAGTGGGGGCCTCCCTGGACACTTAGATTATCCTTCAAACTTGTTTTCCTGAGTGCTTTGGTCCACCTTGCTTCTATCACAGATGAAGTTGGAGCGGGGGTGGGGGGAAATAGGAAAATAGATATCTGAGGGTGAAGGTTCGTTCTCCGAGCTTGTGGGCTGGTTTCTGGACGTTTCATTACCAGGCTGGGTAGCATCTTCAGCGGAGTTTAGAGGATGTCAGGGTCGGTGTTCTTCTGTTTATAAGGGCTTCAGGTGTGGGTGTGTTGAGTGAAGGTCTTGTGATAAGTTAAGGTCACCCTACCATCACAAGACCCTCACTTGACATACTCACACCTGAAGCCCTTATAAACAGAAGAGCATGGACGCTGACATCCCCTAAACTACGCTGAGGATGTTACCCAGCCTGGTAACGAAACATTCGGAAACCAGCCCACAAGCTCGGAGAACCAACTTTCACCCTCACCCTACACCTGAGCTACAGGTATTCGCCACTATTGCAAATAGATGTTTACTGGAGGAGAGGTGTATGAGATCAGAGGAGGCAAGGCTTTGGATCACATCATCTACAATCCTTTGGCACCATCTGTGGATGCTGAGGCTGATTCAGTGGAAGTCCGGAACATTTGTGCAAGGAACCTCTGCATGAATGAAGACAAACATACATGTCCCAGGATAATGTTGCAGGACCCCATCTGGGTCTGTCGCTGGGACCAGAGGGCTCCTGTTCTGAGCTTTCAGATTTGTGCTGCAGCCCATCCTCAGGGAACTTCTCTGTCTCCAGAATGTGTTTCTTTGGGCTCTTCAAAGCATAGAATAGGCCAGTGATGGCAAACCTTTTAGCGACCGAGTGCCCAAAACCTGGCCCCGCCCCCACTCCGCCCTTACCCCGCCTGCCCGCAAGGCAGCTCACCACCTCCAGGGCCCGCCGCAGATCGCCCAACAGCGCCATGGTGGCCACGCCTTCTGCCCGCGCCCCACAGCATCAACTGTGTGCAATGGGGCGTGAGGGCAGAGTCTTGTCTACGCTGTCTGGCTGCCATGTCCTTGGCTGCGCTGCTCCACGTGGGCCACGCTCGGAGGTGACTCTCCTCCAGGGGGGCTGCTGATGAGGAGGGGTCGTGGGGGAGGCAAGACTGGGGCAACGGCATGTGTGCCCACAGAGAGGGCTCTGAGTGCTGCCTCTGGCACCCGTGCCATTAGGTTCGCCACCACTGGAATAGCCTAAAGCACACATTCCAGTAGAGAGAAGTTCCCTGAGGATGGGATCCAGCATGAGTCTGAAAGCTCAGAAGACTAATCCTCTGGTCACAGTAACCGACCCAGATTGGATCCTGGAACTCTCTGTGTTTCAGGTCTCAGAAGAGGATCACAAATCTCTGGAGGTTAGGATCTAGTAGCATTGCCCGGGTAAAGCATGCCTGGGATCTGATGCCCCAAATCGCCTTGTTTCCATCTGCAGTTTTGATTAATTGTTTTCAATACCTTGACCAGGAATGGTCACTTCCTACATTGGTTGTCTTGTGGGGATGCCTTGAGTTCCCTCTTAGATGCACTGATGTCTCCTAATTTTGAAGAACAACAATTGGAGAAGCAAAACAAAAATTTAAAAAATGGCTCTGAGGTAGCTCGGCAGCCCAGTTGAACTCATTTTAAAAATGCTATAAAGTTGATTGTGTGTTTGCTGTTACTTCCCCTTCTAAATACATGTTTTGATTAAAGAAAAAATGCTGAGATGAAAGATCTTGGTTTTAGCTGGGCTTTTCAGAAGCAGGCCTCTTTAGCAGTATTTCCCAATAGCACATACGCCTAGAACAGTGTTTCTCAACCTTGACAATTTTAAGGCATGTGGACTTCAACTCCCAGAATTCCACAGCCAGCATTGCTGGCTGTGGAATTCTGGGAGTTGAAGTCCACATGCCTTAAAATTGTCAAGGTTGAGAAACACTGGCCTAGAACCTCTACACACACTGCACAACATGCACTGATTGGATGCTGCTGTGGAGTTGTAGCTGTGCAGATGTGATTCCAAAGCCAAACCTCAGCAACTAAGAATACCTGGTAATTCTTGACTTGTTCAGCGTAAGTTAGAATGTGGATTCCTCTGTACAAAAATAATAAAAAAATAGCGTCATCACAGCAGATTTAGGGGTCCAGTTTGGAGATAGAATCTAAGAACCATTTCTTTATACCACTAAGTGAATGCTCATCCTCAGACCTGTGGGGTAGAGGCAGTTTCAGCTTTAAATAAATTTTATATTTTTGTGATTGTTCGATGCACAAAACTGTGCTGAAGCTTGTGTTTTTTTTATTGTGTTCGTTGTTGTAAATATATCGACAATGGTTGGTTTTGCTTCCTGCAAATAAGTCTTGAGATATTTCCACTGGAGGGATGTGATGGCAGAGCCATGAACCTACCTTCTCTTTATAATCTGCCAGTTTCAATGTTCTTTCCAATAAATGATGGGCCATAAATTATCTAGATCAGGGATCTCCAAACCTGGCCATTTTAAGACTTGTGGACTTCAACTTCCAGCATGGCTGGTGAGGAATTCTGGGGGTTGAAGTCCACAAGTTTTAAAGTTGCCGAGTTTGGAGACCCCTGATCTAGATGATGTTCCTCCTTATGGGAAAAAGGAAAGGAAGGGACAGCTTACCCAGGCTGACTTTGTTGAGAACCAAGGATTTGGTTGCGATGTCTAAAACCTGATTGCCGTTCCAATTCTTCCTGTTGTCTAAAACCTGATTGCCGTTCCAATTCTTCCTGTTGTGTGAACCAAAATTATTGGGTTAGTTTTTGTTTGGATTCTTTGAACTCCAAAGGTTGATTGATTAATCAGGTTAAGTGTGTTACGTGATCGCCCAAGGCACACACACTACTTTTTCAGACTCTTGAGATCTCATGTCTCCACATTGTTTTTCTTCCAAGGATGCCTTTTAACACTTAGACCCAAATGAAATACTACCAACTGCAGCATCAAAGTTGCTCTTGATTGGTGGGATTAGTTATAGTCACCTTGCAAATTCTCTTGGGTTACTGATCTGTCTGTCTTTCTGTGTCTGTCCGTCCATCTATCTATCTATCTATCTATCTATCTATCTATCTATCTATCTATCTATCATCTATCTATCTATCATCTGTCTCTCTGTCCGTCTACCTACCTACCTATCTATCATCCATCCACCTATCTATCTATCTATCCTATTCTATCCTATCCATCCATCTGTTCGTTCGTCCATCTCTCTCTCTCTCTCTCTCTCTCTCTCTCTCTCTCTCTCTCTCTCTCTCTCTCTCGTAACATAGATTGGCTAACAAAAATGACCAAAATGACATAAACCTTAGAAAGAAAAAAGTTTGCAGAGTTGACCAGGAGGAAGTGTGTTCCTTGGGCCAGTGGCCAGTTTGACAGCCAAATCCGGCAGGTGGTGCTAAAGAGCAAAGGAAGAAAAGCATTTAAAAAAAAAAAAACCCACCCGAAATGACAAAAAGCAGATGTGATGCACCTCATCTCCTTGCCAATAGCCTTGGGCTTGCTTTCGTGCTTCCTAATTAAAGTCAAAACACTCCCTGGTATTGAAGATTAGAAACGCTGACTTCTCAGCACACACAAAAGTCTCAGATTTAACTTTTAAGGCAACCATCTCTGGGCTACAAACATCTGGATAACTGTTAGGATATAGGCTGAAAGATTGCAAGAAAATGGAGGATTTTTTTTCTTTTTTTTGCTAAATGGTGAGGTCATGTGATAATCCTAGCTTGCCTACTTCATTCAGCCACCTGAAATGCATTTCCTTTCTTCTGCCTCTTGGTTTTGGTTAGATCTATCCTGATCTATCTGTGGCTACTTTTCCTTCAACTCTCCTGCTTCTCTACTGCCAAAAAATAAGCCAAGCTATTAAAAGCAGAAATCAGTACTGCATATTGCACTATTAACTTAGTATATTAATAAATGAGATTTGTGTATAATTTAAGTCATCCAAGTAATTTAAGCAATGAAGTATCATTGAGATGTGAATCTACTACAAATCTACTTTCAATTGTTTAAATTACGTATGGATAAACATACCCCACTTCTTTATTTAAAAAACCCCAGTGCAGTCTATCTGGGCAATAATTAAAAAAAGGAGACATCTCTCTCGAGAACAAAGCTACAGTCCCCTCTGTTTCTCAAAAGACCCTCAAGCTGTGTTTTAAACAACCCACTTTGCAGCCAAGAGACCCAGAATAACATCACAATGCTTTCTATCTAGTGTGAAAACTCTTGAAACGTGCAAAACAGGGAAAATTGGGACTCTTTGAAACAGCCTTTGGTGAGACTCCATTTTGCACATTTAGCATTTCCACTTTAAAAAAAAATTAAAAAGCTGCTTTTGAAAAATAAAGGCATTGAGGACGGTAAAGGATTGAGACATCAACTCTTGGGGAAAAAATAGCCTTGATAGATTTTAAAGTGCAGACCAAGCAAAATCTGGATTATTAACATTTAGAAACTTTGCAGTACCGCCAGAATGCACCAGGGGGCAGCACAGACTTTGCTCCCTCTGCAAGATTCAGACTACTCTCTCTCTCACTCCCCCCCCTCTCTCTCCCTCCCTCTCTCATACTTTGGGTGGCCCCCCAAAAATTATTTGTTCCAGATGAGTTCTCGCTATTGTAATATTTTGTTTAACCCAACCCAATCTGAATGAAGCCGGTATAAGACTGCAGCTTTTTTTTTTTTTTAATGATACTCTGCAAAAAACGAGAGGCCGAGTTTTTAAACAGCCAAAG